CAGGTTGTCAAAAAAATATTTCCACACATCATTGTAGGTAGTATATATGTGCATTGCATATGCACATATAAATAACGCATTTAAGGAATATTTCATAGTCTCATATTTTGGTATTATTGCAACGAGTTAATTGTTTTTTTAAAAAGTGTAATCCTAACTGTACAAAGATCTTTTATTTTTCTGACAGTTTTGAGGAAAGTTAGGAATTTTCCATTTTTAATCTTTAAGATTGATGTTTGTTAATTAGATAGTATCTCCAACTTTGTTTCTTAGAGAAGTGATCCCAATGTTTAAAAAGGAGTTCAAGTGTATTTAGAAACCTTAGGAGATTTGTCATTATGTAGACAAAACAGTCAGGTCACTGGATTTTTTTCCCACCGGGATATTTTGTTGTTACATGAACTTCTCAAGGAAAAAGTTCTACAAGGGGAACATCAAGAAATCTGCAATATTTTCCCTTGAATCAAATGTCAAAGTATGTCTGCAGAGGCCCAAAACAACAAGGTTAATATTCATCTTCCTTGTTTAACTAGATGATAGGATAATTTTATTCTGTTTATTTATGTATGGTATCAGGAATGCTGAAGTGTTCATTCACATGCTAGCTTTAAAAAAAGTTTCCTGTGTTGTGAAAAATCTGGAAAATATTTAAAACTACCAAAAGAAATTTAAAAATAGAAATGATCCATAATCGTATTACCCATAGATGACCACTATTCTCTATTCTCTATGGGATTATTTCTTTTTTATTCTACTCTTTTCACCTAACAATGGACTGGAAAAAAATTTCTGAGTTGTTTATTATTACAAGTATATCTCTAAATGTCTACAGAACACTTCATTGTAGGTTGGTACTATAACTTATTTAGGTAATACCCTTCTGTTGCATTTTGGGGCTATTTCCCATTGTTTAGAAATAAAGCTATAATGGAACTCCTTGAAGACTAACATTTAGTAAAATCATATTTTAAGTAATTGTGTATGTAGCTGCTTTCTTACCAAATGTCTGGTTTTGTGCGTTTCTGAATAAGATGGCAAAGTAGTATCATTCCTGATTAACTGGTAAGAGTCTGAACCAAGAGAACTCATCAGATTTGTAGAGAAAGTAGGTTTAGAATTGGGAGTTCTGGTTATTTGGGCTTTTAGTAGGACTCTTTCTTACCAAAACTTCCCAGATGATCAAAAAGGAGTATCGGATATCACTTTATTCACTATTTAAATAATTAAGCACTATTTGAAATAAGATTGGTTTTAAAAATGTTTTGGTTTTTCAGAAAGAATGATTTCTTAAACTGTTATCCCATTACAATCAACACATCAATGCAATACTTTACTGAAGTATTGAAAAAGTCTAGAAGAAGTCTGCAGTCTAGAAAAAGTTTAGCCCCGTTCCATGTTGCTTCCCCTACTGATCCCCTGGAAGACAGGTGTTCTATCTTATGCCTCTTTATTATTTCAGCTGTTGGCATAACAGCTCTTGGCATGACTACTAGTAGTCCTCAATGAAGGTTTATGGATTTGGACCAACATTTTATTTTAAAAACTAAATCTAAAAAGGCAATAAAGAATTAGTAGATTCTCGAATCCTTTGACACAAAAATAGAAACAAAAAATTATTTTTCAGGTGAAATGTTGAATGCTTCGCCCACTGATTCAGCTAGATGCTGGGGAAAAGGTGGGAAAAACCAACATGGTCCCTCCCGCCCTCACAGAGAATGCCCCCAGATGAGGGCTTTAGATAAATACACAGAAAATAACAGTAAAATCAGATATGCTATAACAGGCCAGATATAGAAAAGCAAAATTTGGGTGGAGTTGAGAAGGAATAAAGATCGGTTAAATGTCCAGAACAGTGAACATGTGGGCTTTATTGTGTAATGACAATAAATCATGTAACGACAATAGAGCCAGAAAGTAGTAAGATTTCAGTGGCTTGAAAAACACAGCTTATCTTCAAAATAAGGAACTTAAAAATGTTGGAATGAGTACAGAACGTAGCGTGTAGAGTTACTGGCAGTTGGTCCTTCTACCTGCTTCCAGCCTCCACCCCTGGCAGAGCCCTCATCAGCATTCAGTTAGTAGAGCCCCAGAGTTTACACACATGGGTGGGATTCTCCTTATTTTGCCATGTTAGACAAAAGCAATCCACAATCCTTTCAAAAGGGGGGAAAAAACCCAAAAATAAAAACAAAAGCAAAACTAAGAACAGTAGTATATATGAAATCTCATGAGATAAAGATCCTATGGATTAGAAGCCAGACTGCATGCCCAAGGAAGGGCCAACACTCTTTAATGCCCACATCTTCTGAAGAGGTCCACCAAGAAGTGAACTGATTGAGCACTGCATGTGCCCGTGGCCATGCCCATGGAACCGAACTCCTACGCACTGTGACCTGCTCAGGCCTTTCAGAGATAGAACATTCAGAGCCCACGTAACCCAAACAAGCAGTATCCCCAGACCCCAGGAAAACAGTCATGGAGACAAAGACATCTGAGACACCTCACCATCCGAGAGTCATTGTTGGGACAGTTGAGGCAAGTCTCTTGAATTGCCCTCAATCATAAAATGTGGCAGATAAAACCAATCCCTCCTATCTCCATAAATCATTTAACCAAACACATTTGGCATTCTACAAATGCCAAGCAGTATTGAGACAGGAATGAGTTTCAATATCAGAAAAGCAATAGTCCAAATGTTTCTTATATACATTTAATTCTCCTGTTATTTTGTGACTCAGTATCAACTTCCTGGAATGTATTAAGGAGTTTCTTATTTTCAAAAATACTATTCAGTGCATTCTTTGCTGCTGGTATTTTCTAATAACATTATTTGGAAGCATCAGCAGAAATGGCATCCTCCCTGAGCACTATCCCCATTAAAAAATGAACAGTGTGTTTACTTTGCACCACCCCATGTAAATACTGTTCTAAAACTCATCCAGTGATTTCATCACTTTCATGGTGACTTTCCAAACACCTCACCTAAAATACCTGTTAATTACAGAGATAATTCTGGGGAACATTTAATAGTCATAATTTGGTCCTTTCTTGTCTTTTTCAAATATAGGCTTTTTGGCACAGATTTAGAAGAGATGCAACCAGTTTTAGAATTTTGGCACAGATTTAGAAGAGATGCACACAGTTTGTCCCTCAGCTCCCATTAATGTGTCATGGGCAGCCAAGGGTTGAAAGTGTAAATTCACCAGCTGCACAATCCCTGAACACCTTCAGTAAAGTGCACTATGCTAAGGAAACTCTTGAAATATCCTCTAAACAGGATGGCTCCTTGGGAAGTTTGATAATGAAGCTGCTGGAACTAATTATCAGACTAACCAAAAATATTTTTTCTATGTTGATCTTTTTTTCCTAAGAATAAAAGTAATCTGTGCCCATTTGTGAACATTCAAGATATATAGACGAGTACATTTTTAAAAAGCACTCCTAGTCAAAGAACCCATGGGTAGCCAGTGTTAATCTTTTGTTATATTTGTTATAAAAATGAGATCATATAGTATAAGGTGTTTTGTATCCTGCTTTTTTAACATTATATTATTATTTTTTCATATCATTAAACATCTTCTACAAATAATTCCATACTATTCCATCATGTTTATATACTGATTAGGTTTATTTAACCTAAATTTTTGATATTATAAACAAAGGTATGATGAATTCTTGCCCATGTACCTTTTTAAAAGATTTTTATAGTAAAATTATTAACTAGATCAACTGGTATAATTTTTTTCTTTTTTTATACCACAAATTCTACTTGTCAAATGATAGGCATAGTTTTAATACTGATAAGTAGGAAAAAAAAACAAAATCAGGTCAAATGCTATCATGTAAATATAACTAGAAATAATATTTTGATATATACTCTATTGTCTTTTTTTTTTTTCACTTAATCCAAAATATTGTTTGGTGTATGACCTGAGCCAAGGATCTAAATTTTTAAAATTTCCCAAACTAGTCAATTTCCTAAACATTAGTTTTATAATAATTTACCTGTTCCCCTATTGACTTCTACTGATCTTAGCTCCACTCAAGAATGAATCAAAACAACATCTTGAATAGAGCCACGATTTTTTTGGAACACAGAGCTGATGATGAGATGCATGGCTAATGGCCACAAAAAAAAAAAAAAGAAAAAGAAAAATGGGGTTTACCAGTTGTTTAAATCGTTACAGACCTAGAGTCAGTGTAGCATTAGATAGATTAAAGACTCTTGCCTCAATCAGTTTACCATTTCTCAGTGCTCCCTCATCCCTTACTCTTAGCTCTGCATCTGGAAGGGCGTGGCTCAAAGACCCCCACTAGTCATTACTATATGACACCCCATTACTATATGACCCCATTAGATCATTCCAGTCATTTGGAGAAAATAGACCATTTCCAATCAATAAGCCTAAGAGCGTTTTTTTTTCTCTCCCAGCATCATTCCATCTACCTCATCTCCTCTTGCTTCTTTCATCCATTTTTATGACTTACCAGCAGATGACATTCGGACCTAGAATCTCTTACTCTTTTTCTAGTTTTCAATTTTGGTTTTAGTTTAGTTTTCAATTTCTATTTTTCAATCCCAACATTAATGGGAGCTGAGGAACACTGTGTGCCAAAACTGGTTGCATCTCTTCTAAATCCATGCCAAAATACCTGTATTTGAAAAAGATAAGAAAGGACCAAATTATGACTATTAAATGTTCCCCAGCATTATCTCTACTTTTTCAATTTGGCTTAAACCAGGCATCAAAATCAAGTTGATTTCCTATGTCAAGTTGAGCAGTAACTTAATAAGCATTATTGTATAATCTCAGTAGATTGAGTAGTGGCTATGTTACAATCTCAGAAGCAAATACAGTTGCAGAAAAAAAAAATTGAAATGAAGAAAAGACCTTAAGACCCATAGAGGGGGTAAAGGAGGAAAATGTTGGAAATTTTGACCATACTTATCACAACAAAACACTACCTGGACCCCTCTTGAACCTCATCACACATACTACTCATGAGCCCTTTATTTAATCAGGTTAGCATGAACACAATGCATTTAACATTCTCTGATATAAAAACAGAAGACTAATACCAAGTACTCTCAACATCCACCACTAGCATACTGTAAATGATTTACTTGGGAATCTATTTCCGTACAGTTCACCTTCAGAAAGGAGCTGTCAGAAAAGCTTCACAAGAGCCAGACTTGTTTTCACATATGAGACTGCTGTCCTTTTTCATTTGGATAAATCACTGACTAGGGCTAGAGTGGGCTCTTTGTTGTTGTTGTTATAAGTTTTTCTTGGCCTAGAGTTTTCCTGTTTATTCATTATCAGGAAGAGCAGTGCTTTGTGTTTCTAACATTGGAGGGGTAGTTCCTAATTCTACAGGCATGTTGAAGATGATGGTGTTCATCAAAACCACCACAGTGAGCCACGGCCCAGAGGTGGTCTCCAGTGGTCTGTATCTGGGGCCTTCTGGAGAAAAACAATTGAACAAAGTCACACATTAAATAAAATCAAGGGATTCTTATTTCCAATTATATTTTCTCCCTGAACTCTTAAATCCTTCATTTTTCACCATTTTTACTAGGAGAACCCTTTTCCTTGTGCACAATTTTTTTTCACAAACTTATTTAAGAAGATAGTTAGAAAGTTAGTCCTTATATAACTCACTCCACCAAGAACTAGCTGCATGTCCGCGGCTAATTTTGTTGAGCTTTGTTTTTCTTATTTATAAAAAGGGGATAATAATATAGTGTATACGTTCATATATATGATAATGATTAAATATGATAATGTCTATAAAGGCTTAGCACCATGCCTGATATGTTAGGAGCTCAGTTATGGATTGCTGGTGGTGAGAGGTGGTATTTGGTAATATTCAATCAAAGCAACATCTGGGTTTTTACCTATTAGAACCCTGCAGTCGAAAGTCTTTCATTTTCAGTCTTTTATGGCACACCTGGGAGATCAGTAGGGCTATTCATTTTTTAAAACGGGATTCTAATAGTATCACAAAGTAGTTGTCTTAATTGTTTATATCAGCTTGCCAACAGGAATAAACATAAATTAAATTAGAATTGTTCCTCATGGCATTGTACTCACCGACATTGGATTTTTGAAAGATCTGACTTTTGAACATACGTGAAGTCATTTTTGCGTAAATAGATTCTCAAGGGTTCTGCATTTCCAAAGGAAGTAGAGTGGTTCTATTTCCCTGCTTGCTTGCTTGCTTGCTTGCTTTGCCATTTTTTAAAAGATTTGGAAGTACATATATAAACAGCTTGAATTATTCTGCCTAAAATAAGCATTTGGGGCCAGAGAGCCCGGGATAACAGTGACCAGCATAAGAACAGGGTGAATCTGGGGGAATTTCTGAGAAACTGACAACCCAGGAACATCTGAATGTTCCCAGCAGAGCCCAGAGAAAAGGAGTGTGTGGGAGGAAGGGAAATAAAAATCAGAAGGCTCACTGGAATTCATTTGACTTCAGACTTTAGGTCAGGCCAGGTAGAAGATTGACTCAAACTTGGTGGTTATCAGAACTGGCCAGAAGGACCTAAACAGAGAGGAGACAGTGAGTCCAAGGTCAAAAGGCAGGTACACGGAAACCAGGTGACCCCAGAAAATAGAATGCAGTGGACATCTGCTTTTTTCCCCCCGACCTCTCCCCCGTCCCTCTCTGATGGTAGCATGTTGATTTTACTTTAGGGAACTATCATCCCTTCATTGCCAAGGGCGTGGGCACATGACCTAAGCTGAGCCAGTAAGTGCCCTCCCCCAGGAATTTGGATCCTCAACTGAAAATGCAAGGAGCTTATTTATCCTGACAGCAGTGCCCTGAAAAACTTTCCGTTAGTTTTTGTACCTTGATCCTCATAACAGCCCTGAGGCTGGTCTTTTCTGATGCCTGTTTATTTAACTTTTCTTTAACTTCTGTGTGCTGCCCCATGTCATTCCAACAAATTCCTCTTTTATCATTGAGTTAGCCTAAATAATTTCTGTTGCTTGCCACCAAAGAACCCTGGCAAGGATTCAGGAATCCAGACACCAGTCTGGCCGGCAGAACTGGTGGGTCAGCAACCTTCTCCCCTGGCCAAGAAGCCTCTTATATTAACATGTGAGGAGAGAGTTCCCCTCAGGAGCAACAGATTCAGGCCAGTAAGTGCACATGGGTGAACTCTTGCTAGGAAACTGATCAGGCAGTTACCCAAGATGGACTAGGGGAATGTGAGAACTGAGTTACTGGTTAATCATTGCTTATCACCAAAGTATGAGGCACTTTCTGTTTTGAATGTCTCTAGTAAGAGTGCCAGACCAGGTAAAAATCAAGATTGACTCAATCAATGTGTAGAAGAAATGGTAAATATTGAACTGTTATGTCTTCCCAGAAGATGTAACTTGGAATTACTGCTTGACTTAGACCTTCATCAAAGTAACCTCACTCATCAGCTTGGTTTCAGCCCTCTCTCTGCCTTGATCATCCAGGCCCCTCAAGAAGTTATGGTCCTTGCCTTTTCTACCAAGAAGGATCTGGTCAAAATTTTTGCTACACTCCACCTCTAGGGATTCATTTCTAAGTCTCTTGTCATGAAATACGTCTTTCACTTTATGAGGTCTGTCTTTTCTTCTCCAGCAATATTTGTGTTTTTTTCAGCTGCTTTAAATAATTTAACTTGAACATATTTCAAGTTCATACACAGAAACATACAAACCAGATAAAGCATTTTAAGTATGTAAAAAAGTCTAATCCTGTTCTTTTCATTATGCACATTTTGGAAAAATTCTCTGTAAACTGGTGTACACATTCTTGACCCTTACTCTGCATAGCTGTCTCACTGAACTTTTGACAGTAGGTTGATATTGTTTTTTTAGAAGTGGATTTGGTCAAATTATAAAAAGTTAAGAGCTCTGGCCAAGTGCAAGATTTGGTTGATCATTGATTAAATGAAGAATGGGTAGCTTGAGGTGATTTGCCACAGGGCTCTCAGGGATCACCCCAGGTAGTTAGTACATGGTGCTGTTAGTCCGTATACAAAGATCACATAAAATATCATAAGGACTGGTTGACATCTAGCAGTCTGAGGGAAAGCCAGTCCTACAAGTCATCTTTGCTCTTGTGTATATGGCAAATCAGTCATTACTACTGGAGGAGCTATATAAATAGAAGTTTAAGATACTGTCTTCATCTTCAAATGTGGAAGGAATAGATTTCATTTTATGTATCATACAGTATACCAGTTTCCCTCTTTTATACATAAATGGCCCTTTTGAGACCAGAGGGTAAGGCCCTACTCCATGGATCATTATGGTCCCCACAGAAAAGGAAGACTATTCCATCATTTGACAAGAAAGAAGTAAAAAGAGAAGTTAAATTCAGAAGGAAAGCCTTAGACTAATTCTTAGGCTTTAGTCTGTAATAGTCCTTTGTGGGACTTATTTTAGAATGTAGATTTCCTGACAAAATACTCATGGTGTGGCCTGGGAATTTTCACTTATCACATCTCAGATGATTCTGGGACAAGAGGTCCTTCAAACTCTCTTGTAGAAACACTGCCTCAGACTGATGGGAGAGAGGGAATGCCTGCCTCTCTCTGGGCCTCATCCTCCAGAGCCTGGAATCCCAGACCAGTCACTGAAAGAGTTCCCACAGTTGAACAAGTCAGCCTCTCCTACAGAGGGTCTGCTCCACATTGGCCAGGGAGGACTCTAGCAAAATAGGAGTGTGGTCCATACAAGGAAAATCACTGTGACTGGTTTTGTGTTAGTTATTCCTTTGGTAAAGATTTTTAGAGGAGGGATAAGGGAATATTTGATATGACTTCTACTATATGTTCAGGCCTCTACTATATATCCATCATTCTGTTATTGTTAGAACTGACTAACATCAGGCATATTACATAGAAGTAAGTCAAACAATGTTGGCTGTTCTGATAGTGATGTTGGTTGATGATGATTGTCCATCAGTGATGACTATGATGACAACCATGGTCTCTGCTGCCCAACTAGGAATTAAGGGGAGGATGTGGTATCAATCCCTCTCCCCCAAGCTAGTTTTTTATGTTGGTATCAGTGCCTCTAGTCTCACAGTGAGAGACATTTCAAGGGGAATTTGACTTTGATTGACCCCAAAACAAAGCTACAAAATCAAGCTACTTCTTCTTGCAAGGAGATTCTTCCTCTCTACCAATGTAGGATGATCTTGAGTTGGGTTTTATTAAGGGAGCAAGGAGGCTCCCCTGTTCGTAGATTTTAATATGATTGGTATGCCATGGAAGGAGTATAGACCATGCATTTTCGAGAGAGATTCTATAAGATAAATGTCCTTGTTTCAGGACACAATGGAGAATATGAGAGGTTCTCTTCCTAATTCTTTTTCATATGTCAGCTTTGAGAATCTTTTTAATATTTATCTTATAGATTCACTTTGCCACATATTTATGTTAATTATTTGGTTGTGTTTTGGATAATGTGAAATATATATGCATCTATGTAACACATGTGTAACAATTATACTTGTGAAGGTTGAAGAAAAATACAGTTACTTTAGTTGGAGACAAAAACTAGTGTTTCAGGTAGAAGCTGAGTGCTTACAACATGACAGGTACTGAGCTTGACGCTAGGCACTACCATCTATTGAATTCTCTGAGCCCTATGTTAAATAAAACATTAAAAAATACAAAACAAAAACAAACAAAAAACCTAGTGTTTCGTTGTCAGTGTAATTCACTATATAAAACAGATGCATTTTAGAAAAGGCTCCAGGCAAACGTATATTCAAAAATCCAACTGTATTGTTAAATTAACTTATATCTTCAAAGAAGTTTTGAACACATCAAGAAATAACTAAGAATCAGCCCCATATTTAGTATTCACTGTATCTTTAACACACTTGGCAGAAAACTTAAATAATACATTAATACAAGCAATGCAGAGTCAAAATGTAGAGAAAATGAAAATTTAGTTCTTGATTATATCATACATTTAGATGCTTGTCAACAGGACAGAAAATTCCATCAGGAACAACTAGTTAGAAACTACTTGGAACAACTCTTCTCATCGAAGGTCTTCTCACTTATTTCACATTTCCCAGATATTTTCAGGACACATACCCAAACTGCAGATGAGTGGCAATGCATTGTATTTCTTCTGTCCTGTAATCCAGATGCCATAATGTCTTTAAAAGTTCAGAACACCTTCCTCAGCATAGCAGAATAATTCCCCATCTTTTTCATGAATCAGGGATCCCAGCAACCATTCAGATACTGAGTTACCAAGATGCCAAATGGGTTCTTCTGCAAACTGAGAAAATGGGAGGAAGGATGGGAGTAAGGCTGGGGGGATGCTGGTGGTCACACCACTCTAACTGGGATGAGATTGGTAAATCTGGCAGGGCTTTTGCACAAATGGGCTTTGAACGGTGTGGTCATGCCCAAGAGAAAGTATGACAGCAAGTAATTGTTGCGTATGAACCA